TATATATATGTTGTGTGTGTGTGTGTGTATGTATATATATTATCTCCTTTGATTTTTCACTCTTTTTCCAGATATGTGGGGAGGCTCTTCGTGAAGAGTTCAGCAAGGCCTATTGAGATCCTAGAGAAGTTAAATGAAATGGCTGGATTTCCTCTGGATGAAGAGATTGAACTATTTGAGGTGTGTCTTGTCATTGAATTACAGCAAATTTGTATTTAACTGCATACATGTATGATGTTGTATAGCAAACCCCATCTGTTATTTACCATTTCTGTAGGAAATAAAATTTGAGCCATCTGTTATGTGTGAACGCCTTGATAAAAGAGCTTCATTCCGGCTTAGTCAGGTACTACGCCTCCATTAGCTATTCATTAGTTCAATATGTGTGTCATCTCTTTTATCTGCTCACTCCTTTCTGTTCTCTCTGTTTTCGGAAGATCGAAGATGGGGACATAGTTTGCTTCCAGAAACGCCCTCCAACTGATCGTGAACAGGAACTTCGCTTTCCCGATGTTCCTTCATTCTTGGAGTACGTGAAAAACCGCCAGGTTAATCTTATTCCCTTATAGATTTTCTCCTTCATCCTATTCGGTGTACTAATTGAGGGGATGCAATGTTTATCCAATTGCTCACTATGCTAATCTGATCCAAATTTCCCAACTAAGAAAATTCCAAGTTATAACATATACATTTGTGGTTTCTGTACAGTTGTCCATCTTGATTTATTATGCTATTGTTCCAGCTAGGCTTTTTTGTCCACTTTTTGGAGTTGATATAAATAGATATTGTGTTTCCCTAATTCAGTCCTACATTTAGTCAAGTCCATCGAGCTTTGACTTATTCAAGATGTTCTCTTTCGCTTTGTTCTGCTTCTTTTCCTTCAGACTCATTTGAGTTTGTTTCCTTTTGCAGATTGTGCACTTTAGAGCCTTGGAGAAACCCAAGGAAGATGAGTTTTGTCTGGAATTGTAAGTATTATGGGGTCCCAATATTTAAAGGCCTCCTTTCTTTGACCATGCTAATTCTCTTTAATTGCCTGTTTTTTGGGAAAACTTCTAACTGTCTGCGACTCTTTCTGGCATAAATTTGCAGATCAAAGAGTCATACTTATGATGATGTTGTCGAAAGAGTTGCCCAGCGCCTTGGCTTGGACGATCCATCTAAAATTCGGCTCACTCCCCACAATTGTTATTCGCAGCAACCAAAGCCGAATCCCATTAAATATCGATCAGTTGATCATTTGATAGACATGCTTGTCCATTACAATCAGGTTAGGCAAAGAAAGTTGAGCCCATTCTGCTGCTGTAGCTGCTTCCCTTTGTTTTCAGCGCATTGGTGTGGATCAATCATTAATGATAATTTTTGGTTTCTGAATGTAGATTTCCGACATTCTGTACTATGAAGTGTTGGACATTCCTCTGCCAGAACTGCAGTGTCTGAAAACTCTCAAAGTTGCTTTCCATCATGCAACCAAGGATGAGGTGCTGATAATATGTTGTGCTTTACTTGTGTGGTCCTTATCAGTTCTGAGTCGAATAAGGATCATTGACCTAGCCATGTTGTTCTTTTCAGGCTGCAATTCTCAATATTCGGTTGCCAAAGCAAAGCACTGTTGGAGATGTTCTCAGTGAGATCAAAACTAAGGTTTGCTCAAAGCTGCTTGAAAATTGTTTGAAGTCATGAAGTTTGAAGTCAAAGCTCTTTTTTTTTTTCAATAATTCAACACCAGTCCTGTTGGGAAAAAGATAAGAACTGATCTGTCCTCAATTTTTTTCTTCTCTTTGTTTCCACTTCTTTCTTAGATTGTTATGCTTTTTAACCGTTTCAAGCAAGTTTTCTTGACAATGCCTTCACCTAAGATCGGAGTTACGAAATAGCAGCATAGCATAAACAAGTTTGACTCACACCGTCGTGCATCTTATAATAGGTAGAACTGTCTCATCCGAATGCTGAGCTTAGATTGCTTGAAGTTTTCTATCACAAGATATACAAGGTAACCTTCTTTACTCTTTATCTATTCGACAAGTCACGTAAGGAGATTTGTTGAGGAGGATTTGAAGTTTTGCTGTATTAGAATAACAGGAATTATGATTATAATTAGGAACATGATAATCTTGTGAAGGACCTGATCCTGGTTGTATTCATTTGGAAATTCGTCATGGTGGCCAATAACTTTAAGTAGTATGTGGTATTAACATAATTATATCTCAACTGACAGATTTTCCCTATCAATGAGAAGATTGAGAACATAAATGACCAGTACTGGACTTTGCGTGCTGAGGAGGTGAACTCTCTTATAATTTTCTTCAGTGTGTAGCTTTACAACTGATAAGATTATCTATTTGGATGATTTCTGTTTTGACCAGCGTTGAGGAAATTGTAACCTTAGCTAATCCTAATAATTGTTACGTGTGGAATTGACTCAACCTTTTTCTGCTTTGGTAGATCTGTGAATATAAGCTTACAGATTCATGTATCTTACATTTATATGGTTATGTTTTATACCAGATTCCAGAAGAAGAAAAGCATCTTGGGCCGAATGATCGGTTGATTCATGTCTACCATTTCACTAAGGAGGTTGCGCAAAATCAAGTGGTATTTCACACCCTTATAGTTATTTTATGTCTGCAAGTGGATATTGGTATTTCTGTTAATTATTATTATTATTATTATTATTATTATTATTATTATTATTTCCTTTTTCCTCTGAACAGCAAGTCCAAAATTTTGGGGAGCCATTCTTTTTGGTCATCCATGAAGGTGAGACATTAGCTGAAGTTAAAGACCGCATTCAAAAGAAGCTGCAGGTTTCAGATGATGAGTTTTCTAAGGTATATTCGGATTTCAATTGGATAGGGGGAAACTAATTTTCAAATTTAGCAGAATAATGTTGTGTCATACATTCTTGGAGGTTTTTTGTTCGGTAAATTTTTCCAGTTAATTGCTGAAGTAGTATTCTGATCATTTGAAATTTCGCTATGAAACCAACCAGTGGAAGTTTGCCTTTCTGTCATTGGGTCGCCCAGAGTATCTCGAGGACTCTGATGTTGTCTCTAGTCGTTTCCAGGTCATTTTCTTCTCTCAGTTATTATTATGAAAGTGCGAAATATAACAATTTCTGTGAATCATTTTAATTAAAATCGAGAAACGTGATCTATTTTCCAGAGAAGAGATGTGTATGGTGCTTGGGAGCAGTACCTTGGGCTAGAACATGCTGACACCACTCCCAAGAGAGCATATTTGGCAAACCAGGTAAAACTTCTTTACTCATATATACATGTATAATAGAAAGTGTAGTGTGCTTAAATCATTTTTCCCTTTTTTTTTGTCTCGTAATTGCAGAACCGCCACACATTTGAGAAGCCGGTGAAAATATACAATTAGAGTTTTTTGACTTGCATTTACCTCAAATATGCCATACTCCAATTCCGTGGTTAAAAAGGCTAAATGCGAATTTGATTAATGGAGACTGCAATTAAGGCACAAAAGCATTGGCACCTATTCCATCTCAGTTTTTTCCCCTAATGTCACAGTGATCTTTTTCACCGTTTTAACATTTTTTTCTGAAGGGAAGCTAAACATTTAGGCATCTTTTGCTTTTATTGATCGTAGAGCACGCGCTTCACTATCGTTTTGTTGTCGCCGTTATTCTGTAGTCTGCGAAAAATTATGAATTTGCCCCCCCATGTAATTTTTTTAAGAAGTAATGAGATTTTGTTTGGGGGGTTTTGTAAAGTTGGGGTATAGTTAGGTCTTCTATATGTTCTTGCTTTTTTCTGTAGACTACACTGTGCAGCACCATGTTTTTTTCTTTCCCTTCAAGTTTTATTTTCTCATTGTTCTGGTTGTATTTTCATTATTACTTATACAGGGGGCCGTGATTGTAAAAGAAACAAGTTTATTTTGCGTATTTATTTAAGACATCTATATTTGATTAACCGCGCCATTATTCAAATGTGCCCTTCACATTCCTGCCTGTGGGTAAATTTTTTCATAAAATTTGTGTTGCCTCGATTATTTCGGGGCAGTAAAGCTTGTCAAGTATTCGATTGCATCAAAGAGCTCGATGCTGCCGACACTTTTAAATTATAACAGTGTCTGCATTTCGCTAACGAACATTGTTTTCGTTTTTTACTTCCAAAATCTTTCTCCACTTTTCCATGTCAACAGTTTTCATTTTTAGTTTAAGTAAAATAAACCTATTTAGTACGCTTCGTTACAATCAAATGCAGTTTAATTTGACCATGCTACTGAAAAAAACTACATCAAGTTATTGGTCAAGTAATGTATTTCCATGAAAGAAGAATGTCATGCAGCCATAAACAAGAATGTGAAAATTTCAACAGCTTAGTGATCTTAACCAGTTAAGCAGAACAAAATTCAGACAACAAACGGGTAAAAAGTATAAACAGAACAGGGGCACTAGCGAAGGTTAAGCCTGTCATTGGTGGTCTGTAACTGCATAGGAGATTGCGCCATCAGTCGTCTCAACGCATAGGCGATTCATTTTTATGAGCAGCAAAAGGTAAGATCTCGCCTTAGTGCCTGCACGAGATAAAGCAAGCACAATTAAGGAAACTGAAGCTCGGATGACTAAATAGGCTATCAATATACTTCTTTCACAAATTTTTACTTTCACCACACAGTTTTTGTGCTAGCTGCTCACAGTTATAACATAAGTACTGAAAGTGAATCAAAAGATGAAAATGTAACACACAGAGTCCATGTTTGTCTCAGAATGTCATACTAAATAGGCCAGTTTCAGTTTTCAGCTCCATTTGGCCCTCACATGCAAAGGTTATCAGAAATCATTCGAAGAATTCTCACAGAATGAACGAAATCATTGAGGACATAAAATTGCGACAAAATCAGATGCCATTCATGCCAGGAAACAGTGTCACTGTACATACCTAATTGCAGAAATTCAATTTCATCTTGTCTGAAGGTGACCGGTTTTGTTTTCTTGGTCGCTATGCATGAGTTCATCTTTTCAACCGCATCTAGGAGGTCCTGCAATATACAGCAATCCTAATTTTAACAAAGGAGAGAATCACAAGAACTTAAACATGGCAACAGTTTATAACTTCTTTATCAACCATTATTGTACTTGGTTTTCTCGATTACAAGAAAAATAAAGCATGGCAGTTAAGTATAATGAAAAACGTAGAACTGCTAAAGCTGATGCTGCAATACTCCATCTTAAATGTCTTGTACTCGAATTTCTGAAATAATTACCTTTTTTTTCTGAGCCATATGATGTGATAATATGAAGAACAAACACCAGTGAGAGTACAAGCATTAACTAAATAACATGATTGGTCACCAAATAACAATTAAAAATGGCATATCTGCCTGGTCCTTTTGAATTTTCTTAATGATTGTGCCAACATTGCTTCAGCTAAACAGTATTGTCTCCAGTTATTGGAGGTCACATTTACAGCAAAGCTTCATTCCACAGATTCAATTTTTGTTTGAACGCATGGTTTCTATTCTTCATGTATCGGGAAGGCTCTGTGGTGGCCTTCAAAATGTGTAGTACATTTACCAAGCCTTTCTTTTGTTTATACACCAACTTATAAATGTAGACTCTCTCTGTTCTATTTCTATCCCTAGACAAAAAAATGAGCTGAAGACCTGTGAATATTCTTCCAATTGATATTTCATTTCCTGGGATGCGAATGCTACAACCCAACAAGAAATTCATGGTTGCTTGCAGATATTGACTTAAAGAATTACAGCAGCAGCTTTATATCTTTACATTTTCAAACTTCAAATTAAGAACGTCCGAAAAACAGTCCCAAGCAAGCATATCATACCTCCCAGGGTGCCAAACCCTTCATGTGTTTGGGGAGACTTTCATAATCATCCCTCGAGATATTCAGAAGCCGCCCAGAAACTTCATCTTGGTCAAGATCATCAATTGTTTCCCCTAATTTAATTACAAAACAACTCTATCAATCAGACACTAGTTGAATACACCAAAAGAAACTGCACGAATGAATGATGTTGATGTTGATGATGAATGAATGAAATTTCAGAATGCATATAATAATTCTGCACACCTATCTGAAAATTAGGTTCATCAATCTCAAAGTTAGTGCCAGCTTCACCACACTGAGATGCAATGGTTGCAAGAGAAACATCAGAGATCCCGAAATTCTTTAAGCTCAGCGAGTCATCAAGCCTACGTCATGTTAAGTAAAGCAACAGCTAATATTCATTTCCCGTTAAACACAAAAAGCCATAAAAACAGCAGTAATTGTCCACAGAAATCCTACAATTGAAAATTAGGTGTAAACTGTAAACACAAAGGATACAGTACATCCTCTTCTTCAGAATCATTATTCTTGGACTTGTAACAGCTACTTCCTGGTGAGAAATCGTCCAATGCGCTATCACCCGTCGTGATATCTTCTTCGTCGAAATCGACTAGAAACCCGATCAACATTTAAATTAGCAAGAAAATAGAAAAAAGGAAACCTCTTAGAAAGGGGACTTAAAAGCGAGGCAAACTAACGTGGGGGAATGTAGCAAGAGGAGGAGCTGAGGTGATCCTGGAGGGCAAAAATGTCATTTTGGTTCTTCTTCAAGACCTCATTGCAGTGTCCCAGCAGCTCCTCAAACGACACGGTGGCGAAGGCCATGGATTCCAGCAGGTTCAGGTCGCCGCCGGCTGCGGACACCCTCTGATTCACGCTTTCAACGAACGTTGTAGACGCAGAATCTAGGGACGCGATTCGGGTGGATTTCATAAATTTAGAGTTTGACAATAGCTAGTGAGCGTTAAGGGAGTGGAGAGGTAGCGGAAGGTGACATACCGAGGGGGATTGGGCGGCGGTCGACGGACTCCTTCAGGGCGGCGCAGCTCGTTTGGAGGTGGTTGCAGAATTTGGTCACCGTCTTGTAGAATTTTCCGATGGATTCCTCCATTGCTCTTTTCCCTCCCACTCTCTCTGACGACCGCTCTTAATATAATTTGAATCTTTTACATTTAATTAGGTTTTGTACGTTTTACATTAATTTTAGCATGTATGTAAATAATAATATGCAACATGTACTTTACAACACGAATTTGGGTTTTGATATGGGATATCTATTACAACCTCCACCCATTGAAAGCCCATTTTTCACTGGAAAAGCGAGCGTGTGAGTCACACGCTCGAAATTTGAGGGAAAAAAAAAAGTTATTTTATCTTATGTTTGAAGGATAATTTGATCATTTTATGGTCTATGCCAAGGTTTTAAATAGCGGGCTAAAACGTTTATGGCACTGTAGCTATAGCGGAGCTATAGCGGAGATTTAGTGAGATTTAGCGGCTAAATTGCACATGAATACAAATAGCGGCACGCTGCCAAAAAAAGTTATTTCTCAAATAGCGGCAACTTTAGCGAGCTATTTATTTCCTTGGTCTATGCAGATTGTTAAATAAAAAAAAATGCGCACGATAATACTTGTTCTCTCATTTCTTCACTCCCTTAGAAATGGCTTGGAGACAAACGGTCGAGGCAATGGGTCAACTCTGTAATTGTGAGATCAATGTTGCTACGAAAGCATCGTGGTGTGTTCTAAATCCAGAAAGGAGATACGTTTCTTGCACAAAATCACATGTAAGTAATTAATTAGGACAGCCTTAACTTTTGAACTTTGGAGAATTCAGTAAACCATAGAGATCCTGAAATTAATTTATTTATTTTTCATAGAATTTTTTAAGAGGATGGTGGTTGTTTATATTTTTCGTGAATTGAACCACCATTATGCCGTAGAGCTCGTGAAATCATTCCAGGGCTTTTGAAACGTGCCAACAAATTTGAAAGAAACTCAAATTTTTGAAGTAGATGTGACGAGATTGGAAGGTGATGTAAATAAGCTTTAATCAGATTTAAAAGAGAATAAGCATGTATTCAAACTATTATGGAGAAAAGGGCTAAAATTGAATTATGCTTGAAGATGAAAAGTGCTCGGGATCGATGGATGTGAATTGTAATTATGATCTATTCATATATGGCTTATTGTAGTGTTTTTTAAGCTTTGAGATTGGTTGATATCTTTTGGCATCATCAAACTCTGTTTGATATAATGATTTGAATGTTAATTGACAGTGTGTGTTGTTCAAACTGTTTGGTATAATGATTTGAATGTTAAATGGATAATAAGACCATTAAATAGATTGAAGCACACAAGAAAATATCTAAAATAAAAAATGAAGTATTAATAATACCTATAGTTTCCTCCCCAAGCCCAATGTCTTTCTCTTGGTCGGATGATTTTTTTGGTCCTTTTTGGCACCAATTCCTTGGTAGGTGTAAGACATTTAAACTAGCTTCTCGTTAACCTTATGGGTTTAGCTGCAGATTGACAGTGGCTTCTTGTCAATTTTTAAACGGGTCTAATTGTGAATTTTTACACTGAACCCAATCTGGATTTCGAGTAGTAAATTTATACTTGAAGACTCTAAACTTGTCCAATCTAAGTATACCCAACCTGAAAATGCGGATAACCCGACTCTATTGACATCCTTAGGTGCCTCGTCGCACCACCAAAAGCCACATTCCAAGTAGTTGATTCGTCGAAAAAAATCCATCAAGCTCTCTACATACTCTCGGACTCCAGCTTCTCATTTTTTCCGTGCCCAACCATCGCAATTTCACATACAACGTCTAAGCTGACTCGGCCTACTCGAGCACACCCTCCCAAGCGTCATTCGTATGGAGAGGTAAGATTTCAAAGAATTGTAGAGGATGATTATATTTGACGAGGTTGAATATTTGACACTAAAGTTTAATTATTTTGAATGATCATTGTCCTAATTAACTATCGTTAATTAGCATTCGCGAAAATTTTTACAAAAATATAACTAGCGTATTTTTTTACTTAAAAAATACTCAAAAATTTGTTGTACAATAGAATGTAGATAATCTGCATTAAAAAATATAAAAAAGTAAATATAGACTTATAGTTTTTCAACTCGGATTGGCCTTTCGGGTCGACTCGGAGCCCGAACCAGTCTGGGTCGGCTGTTCAGACCGGGCAACAGTGGACCCGGTCTCTATAATATTTTTTTATTAAAAATAAAACTTATGTGTATATATTTATATGGTAAATATTTATTTTGAGGTGCAATATTATTAACACTTTGATATACAAAATTTATATACAAAATATTTTATTTTGTTACTTTTATGTATATTTATATGTAAAAAATACTATTTATTTATTTATAAAATTTAAAATTTAAAAGTAATTATCCAGTCCATCAATTGACCCGATGACCAGGTCATTGAACCGGTAACCTAAAGACCTGCCAGGTCGGGTTTAAAAACTATGCATAACATGAAGAAGATGGTACGTGAGCTAATTTCCCATCTTAAATCCTTATCAGATCTTAGTGCTGATTGAAAAAAAAAAAAAAAAAAAAACTTATCAGACCGGATCCATTTGGAATCCGAACCGGTTCGATCAAGAAGAATCTTATCCGAGTCTCCACTATTATCTAGTATCTACAGTTCCAATGAGTTTTTGGTACAGGGACCTTCCGATTTCTGGATTTACAGGAGAACCGACTATTTCGAAATCGAATCGGGTAGGACCACAAGGACGACAAAGCTTTTCACTAGAGAGTAGAGAGTAGTCTCGTTGAACTTTATTCAGTCACTGAGACTACAAAACCGTTCCTTTCGCATATCGCAGAGAAAATTCTCATTTAAAAAAAAAAGTAAAAATTAATTGTTCTCTTTCTAGAGCTTCGTAAATTTGAGCTCCAACCATGGCGAATATGAAGGTTTTTGGTGGTCTCTTGTTCGCCTTGTGTCTGCTCGTACCGTACATCTCCGCGGCGTCCACGGGCTTTCGCGCGTGCAGTACGTTACTTCCTTCTTTTTTTTTTT